TACAATCCTGTAGTTGTGTGTTGTAGTCCATGCATTGAGTCTGAATTGCAGTGGAAACATCCACTTTTACACAAATCTGGAGCTGTGGAAGGTGCAGTAGAAACTCCACTGTTCTTATCATCACATAGTTGACCAGGCATCTCTCCCAATCTTACCTCCTGCCATTGGCACATTGGCATGTGTTGGATAGATTTACAATAGTCTGCCTGTTTGGCCACAGAATGGACACCCCTTCTTTCACCATCAAGTTGTGGAGTGGGACTTGAACCTGGAACCTCTGGCTCTGATCGAGGGACTCTACCCATTCTGCTGCAAAACCTCACAATTTTTTTTTATAATCTTTTCAAAACAAAATAAGTAAATTAAGTGACAGCCCCTTCAAGAGGCTTAAAAAAAATAACATTTTCAAAGGAAACTTAACAAATTTAAATTAAAATCTCATTCCTAGGGTGGATGATGTATTCTGGCCTCTGCAAAGTTCTTTCTTTCTTTGTATGTGTTCAAAGTGCTTAATCAATCAAAGCCTTTTGTCTGTGTATCTGTATCCTTGATAAATACAATAAACATCCCAATCCCACATACTCACCTTTATTGCCTTTTTTCCCATATATTCCCTTCAACTACCAGTCCTTAACCTATTCCTAAAGATTTGATCTCTGCTTCAGTCACTCACTGTGATATTTTAATCGACTAACTGCTCAGATTGTCACACTAAGCTTTTGTGCTTCAATTCAATGGGCTAGGATGGAAATCTTGCCAAGTTACACAAGTTGGATCCACTGATGGGATAGATGCCAGTTAGACATGTTGGTAGGATAGTGACAATATCACTGAGCTATAAATCCAGAGGCACAGGTTAATGTGCTGGAGGGCATGGGTTCAAATTACACCAAGGGAGCTGGTGGAACCTAAATTCAATTAACAAAACCTGGAATTGAAAGCTAATCTCAGTGATGGTGGCATGTAGCTACAATTGATTGTTGTAAAATCGCATATCATTCACTAATGTCCTTTAGGGAAGGAAATCTGCTGGTCTACACCTGTAACTTCAGCAGCAGTGTGGTTGACTTTTTTCCTGAAATGGTCTAACAAGCCATTCAGTTCAAGGGCAGTTGGGGACAGGCAATAAATGCTGGCCTTGCCCTCATAGAGTCATACAGCACATAAACAGACTTTTGATCTAACCAATCCATGCAAACATAATCCCAAACTAAACTAGTCCCACGTTCTTGCTCCTGGCTCATATCCCTCCAAACCTTCCTTGGGTCACCGGACCTGAAACGTTAACTCTGTTTGTTTCTTCACAGATGCTGCCAGACCTGCTGAGCTTTGCCAGCAATTTCTGTTTTTGTTTACAACTCAAACCTTCCATACCTGGCAACATCCTGGTAAATCTCTTCTGAACCCTTTCCAGCTTAATAATATCCTTCCTACAACTGGGCAATGAGAACTGGATGCAGTATCCCAGAAGAGGCCTCACTAATGTCCTGTACAACCTCAATATGACTTCCCAACTCCTATACTCAAAGGACTGAGCAATGAAGGGAAGCGTGCTAAACACCTTTTTAACCACCTGTCTATATGTGACACAAACTTCAAAGAATTATGTACCTGAACTCCCAGGTCTCTCTGTTCTACAACACTACCCAAGGCCTTACCATTAATTGTTTAAGCCCTACCCTTGTTTGTTGTACCAAAATGCAACACCTCCCATTTATCCAGATTGAACTCCATCTGCCATTTTTCAGCCCATTGACCCATTTGATCAAGATCCCTTTGTAATCCTAGAAAACCTTCTTTACTCTTTACTATGTCACCAATTTTGGTGTCATCCGCAAACCTACTAACCATGCCTTCTATATTCCCTTCCAAATCATTGTTATAAATAACCATGAAAGAAAAGAAATTCTATCACTACAGTCAAACTTCTGTATTTTTTTAAGAAACACCTGAAAGGTAAAATGAATTGTTTCCAAAGCACTTTTCACAACCTCAGGCTGTCTCCAGGTATTTCCCAACTGTCGGAGTGGCTTTACAGCACAGCCATTGATGTCATGTAAGAAGCACAATTTAGGGATATGAGGTTATGAAGAATGTTGCTTAAATATTTCTGAGAGAAAATGATTGATCAGAGAACTAAAAACAAATGTTTTTAGCTGAACAGACACTTTGATTTTTGTACTGTGTAATTTGCAGATAATATTCTGTGCAAAGGCTGGAGTTCATCAGATGATCAGAGCATGATCCTATTTGTGTTATTGTGTTTGACACTGCATTTGCTTTGTGATGTCTCGATGGAGTGATTCCCAACTCATTGAGGGGATGGCATCCTGGTGACACTCCACAATAGAATCCAGAAAGGGGTCTCTGAATGAGAAGGCTATCCCTGCTGCGGTTTATTTTTCTATTCATTTGTGGGTTATGGGCATCGCTGGCTGGCCAGCATTTATTGCCCATCCCAAGCTGCCTTTGAGAAAGTGGTGGTGACCTGCCTTTTGAACCGCTGCCATCCTCCTGCTGTGGGTTGACCCACAATGCCCCTTACGGAGGGAATTCCAGGTTTTTGACCCAGTGACAGTGAAGGAATAGCAATATATTTCCAAGGCAGGATGGTGAATGGCTTGGAGGGGAACTTGCAGGGGGTGGTGTTCCCATGTATCTGCTGCCCTTGTCCTTTGAGATGGAAGTGATCGTGGGTTTGGAAGGTGCTGTCTGAGGATCTTTGGTGAATTTCTGCAGTGCATCTTGTATATAGTACACACTGCTGCTACTGAGCGTCAGTGGTGGAGGGAATGGGATGTTTGTGGATGTGGTGCCAATCAAGCGGCTGCTTTGTCCTGGATAGTGTCAAGCTACATGAGTGTTGTTGGGGCTGCACTCATCCAGGCAAGTGGGGAGTATTCCATCACACTCCTAACTTGTTCCTTGTAGATGGTGGACAGGCTTTGAGGAGTCAGGAGGTGAGTTACTTGCTGCAGTATTCCCAGCTTCTGACCTGCTCTTGCAGCCACTGTGTTAATGTGGTGAGTCCAGTTGAGTTTCTGGTCAATGGTAACCCCCAGGATGTTGAAAGTGGGGGATTCAGTGATGGTAACATCATTGAATGTCAAAGGGTGATGGTTAAACTGTCTCTTATTGGTGATGGTCATAGCCTGGCATTTATGTGGCGCAACTGTCATTTGCCACTTGTCAGCCCAAGCCTGGATATTGCCCAGGTCTTGTTACATTCGAATATGGACTGCTTCAGTATCTGAGGAGTCACGGATGGTGCTGACCATTGCGCAATCATCGGCGAACATCCCCACTTCTGACCTTATGATGGAGGGAAGATCATTGATGAAACAGCTGAAGATGGTTGGGTCTAGGACACGATCCTGAAGAACTCCTGCAGAGATGTCCTGGAGCTGAGATGATTGACCTCCAACAACTACGGGCATCTTCCTATGTGTCAAGTATAACTCCAACCACTGGAGAGTTTGTCCCCAATACCCATTGATCCCAGTTTTGCTAGGGCTCCTTGATGCCACACTTGGTCGAATGTAGTCTTGATATCAAGGGCTGTCACTCTCGCCTCACCTGTGGAATTCAGCTCTTTTGTCCATGTTTGAACCAAGGCTGTAATGAGATCAGGAGCTGAGTGGCTCTGGCGGAACCCAAACTGGGCGTCACTGAACAGGTTATTGCTGAGCAGGTGCTGCTTGATAGCACTGTTACTGACACCTTCCATCACTTTACTGATGATTGAGAGTAGAATGATGGGGCGGTACTTGGCTGGGTTGGATTTTTCCTGCTTTTTGTGTACAGGACATATTTGGGCAATTTTCCATATTGCTGGGTAGATACCAGTGTTATAACTGTACTGGAAGAGCTTGGCTAGGGGAGTGGCAAGTTCTGGAGCACAAATCTTCAGTACTATTGCCGGAATGTTGTCAGGGCCCACTGCCTTTGCAGTATCCAGCGTCTCCAACCATTTCTTGATATCACGTGGAGTGAATCGAATGGGCTAAAGACTGGTATCTGTAATGCTGGAGATCACTGTAGGAGGCTGAGATGGATCATCCACTTGGCACTTTTGGCTGAAGATTGCTGCAAATGCTTGAGCCTGATCTTTTGCACTGATGCGTTGGGCTCTTTCATCGTTTGAGGATAGAGATATTTGTGCAGCCTCCTCATCCAGTGAGTTGTTTAATTGTCCACCACCATTCACAGCTGGATGTGGCAGGACTGCAGAGCTTCGATCTGATCCATTGGTTATAGGATCGCTTAGCTCTGTCTATCACTTGCTGCTTTTGCTGCTCGGTGTGCAAGTAGTCCATTTTGGTGGCTTCACCAAGTTGATACTTCATCTTCAGATATGCCTGGTGCAGTTTCCTGGCATACCCTCCTGCACTCTCCGTTGAATCAGGATTGATCCCCTGGCTTGATGGTAATGGTTGAGTGGGGGATATGCCGGACCATGAGATTACAGATTGTGCTGGAGTACAATTCTGCAGGTGTTGATGGCCCACAGCACCTCATGGATGCCCAGTCTTGAGTCGCTAGATCTGTGCGAAGTCTGTCCCATTTAGAACGGTGATAGTGGAACATGATGGAAGTTATTCTCAATGTGAAGGTGGGACTTCATCTCCACAAGGACTGTGCGATGGTCACTCTTACCGATACTGTCATGGACAGATGCAACTGCAGCTGGCAGATTAGTAAGGATGAGGTCAAGTATGTTTTTCCCTCTTGTTGGTTCCCTCATGACGGCCACAGACCCAGTCTAGCAGCTATGAGCTTTAGGACCCGGCCACTCGATCTGTAGTACTGCTGCCGAGCCACTTTTCGTGGTGGATGTTGCAATCCCCCACCCAGAGTACGTTTTGTGTCCTTGCCAATCTCGGTGCTTCCTCCATGTGTTGTTCAACATGGAGTACTGATTCATCAGCTGAGGGAGAATGGTATGTGGTAATCAGCAGGAGATTTCCTTGCTCATGTTTAACCTGAAGCCATGAGATTTCATGGGGTCCGGACTCTACGTTGAGGACTCCAAGAGCAACACCCTCCTGATTGCATGTATGTCATTGTGCTGCCACCTCTGCTGGGTCTGTCCTGCCAATGGGACAGGACATATTCAGAATTGGTGATGGTAGCACCTGGGACATTGTCTGTAGGTATGATTCTGTGAGTATGACTATGTCAGACTGTTGCTTAATTAGTCTGTGAGACAGTTCTCCCAATTTTGGCACTAACCCCCAGATGTTAGTGAGGAGGACTTTGTAGAGTCGACAGGGCTGTTTCTGCCGTTGTCTTTTCTGGTGCCTAGGTCGATGGCCGGGTGATCTGTCTGGTTTCATTTCTTTGAGATTTTGTAGCGATTGGTACAACTGAGTGGCTTGCTAGGCCATTTCAGAGGACAGTTGAGAGTCAACCACATTGCTGTGGGTCTGGAGTCACATGTAGGCCAGACCAGGTGAAGGTGGCAGATTTCCCTCCCTCAAGGACATTAATGAACAAGTAGGCTGTATCCTGACTTCACATTCATATGACAACCTCTTGATGGAGAGACAGGAATGTTATGGCACATGATACAACATTAAAGACTGTAAGACCATACAAAATTCAACCCCTCAAGCCTGCTCCACCGTTCAATAGGAGCGTGGCTGATCTGACATTCTTCACTTCCAATTTCCTGCGCTTTCCCCGTAACCCTTGATTTCCCCGACTGATCAAGAATCTATTTCAGCCTCAAATATACTCAAGGACTCTGCTCTCACAGCTCTCTGTGGCAAGGAGTTTCAAAGACACTTAATCCTCTGAGAGAAGAAATTCCTCCTCAGCTCGGTATTAAATTGGTACCCCTTTATTCTGAGACCATGACCTCTGGTCCTAGACTCTTCCATGAAGGGAAACGTCCTCTCAGCATTTACCCTGTCAACCTCTTAAGAATCTGATATGTTTCAATGAGATCACCTCCCATTCTTCTAAACTCCAGTGAGTCGATTCCCAACCAGTTTAGCCTTTGCTCATAAGACAATCCCTCCATTCCAGGGATCATCCTTGTGAACCTCCGTTGAACTGCCTTCAATTAAATAATATCTCCCTTTAAATAAGGGGACCAAAACTGCTCATGATTCATGATCACAGAGCCTCTGACTAAATTTGCTGATCAGTCTCTATGAATGAGTTTACAACAGACCCAGACATTATCTGAGGGACACTTGCCCCATCGCCAGGTTTCCTCCTGTGCTCACTTACCGTGCACATCATGTTGTGTATAATTCAGAACCCTGAAGACCAGTTCTGAAGGGTCACTGAACTTGAAATGTTAACTCTGTTTTTCTCTCCATAGATGCTGCCAGACTTGCTGAGTTTCTCCAACAATTTCCACTTCTCTCTCAGATGGCAACTGAACCATTTGGGAATAGGAGAAGGTTTGGAAGATTTCCTTCCAACTCTCCTTGCTCATTCAAGCCCTGACTGAGAAACCAATCATTATCCAGTGTTTTCAAGTAATTGGAAAAAGCAATTATTTTTTAAATTGATTCACAGGATAAGGGCATCATTGGCTAGGCCAACATTCACTGCCCATCTCTAATTGCCCAGAGGGCAGGTGAGAGTCAACTACTTTGCTGTGAGTCTGGAGTCACATGTAGGCCAGACCAGGTAAGGACACTACTTCCCATCCCTAAAGGATATTAGTGACCCAGATGGATCTTTCCTGACAATTGACAATGGATTCATGGTCATCATTAGAGTCTTGTTTCCAGATTTTTTTAAAAATTGAATAAAAATGCACCATCTGCCTTGGCGGGATTTGAACCTGGGTCCCCAGAACATTCCCTGTATCAATAATCCAGTGATAATACTACTGGGCCATCGCCTGCCCAAACAGGAACAGAATGGACTTCAGTTGGATATGATCCCACTCATCACTCATGTGCAATAACTGTCTCTTGTGTCACAGCGTCAGCATTTACCAAAAAACCAAAAACACTCGAGGTGACCGCAGGGAGCAGTGCCGAGTTCGTGGCTGAAACCGGCAAGGCAGATGCCAAAGTGAAATGGCAAAGGGATGGCAAAGACATTCAAGCAAGTGATAAGTATGTGATTAAATCGGAAGGTGTGCACCACACATTTACAGTGAACAGTGCAACGAAGGAGGATGAGGTGGTGTATGCAGTCATTAGTGGCACATCCAAAGTGAAATTTGAACTGAAAGTCAAGCAAGAAGGTAAGACAGTTAATCTTATTTTCTTTTTACAATAATTTAGTTACCCTGCGTCTCTTTATTCCTGTACTGTGGCCTGATTGACTAAGACATGGTCTACCCTGTTTAACAATCTTGAAGCAGCACATTATGTGAGATTAAACCAAGGAGCTGGGAGTTTTGCAAAAAACAATACCTCTCCTCATTTCCCTTCCATACCTTGGGAATTTTATAGGGGGTCTGACTGACATGGGGCTCTGGTGAGAAATCCAGTGAGGTCTATCTCAATGTGGGAACAACTTGCTGCATCTTTTAACTAGGTTCTGGCTGTTTGAGAATCTCACCAGGGAGCCAGAAGTTGCCCAGTAATGAGGTTTATTGCTTGTTAACAAAGTCATTACTTGCAGATTTTGCCTCATTAATATGCAGTTTCTTATTCTAACGTTCCCGGTGAGCGAATGAGAGGCTGAGAATTTGTGACATGGAAGTGAGAGTGCGTATTCTGGACACCTCAAATTACTGGTGCTCTGAGGACTGTTCTAAGAATCCCAACATCCCAAATCCACTTACCGGACACTGTACCCTTCAATGCTGTACCTCAGGCTGCCTGAGTAACACTCACTGTAACGCTGCAGCAAGGACACCACGTGCACAGGGACGCTCACCCATTCCAGGGACTGCACCAGGCTGTATCTCTGGGATCTTCCCTCACTGTCAGAATGCTCACTCACTCTGAACCTCCCTGGATACACACAGCATCCCTGCCTGGCCTTTTTGCACCTTGCCTCTTGCTGACAGTGCAGCTGTTTTGCTGTGCCATTCAGTGCAGATTCAAAGCCAGGAAGCTTGTCATGTTTATCTGTAATCTTCAACCAAAACAACGGAGATAGCCTTCATTTGGGGCAGAGCTATGATACCAGGCCCATGGTCGGGCTGATCAGAGTCAGTAAGGACTGAGGAACCGAAGATCAGGCAGCTTCCCCACCCACAGTCTTGTCTCTTTCTGTCCAATGGAGGGCTGTTTTCCTCTTGGAAGGAGAGGGAGGCAGATGCTACAGGGGCTGAAGATGAGAATCACCGTAAATTACTGTTGGTGCGGGCAGGGGGATGTCGTGAGTGAGTGAGTGGGCAGCACAGAGGGCACGCTGGGTTAGTGGTGGCAGGGGTTGGAGTGGGTGAGAGTCAGTGAGGGAGGACATTGCTGGCAATGGTGAGCGTGGTAGAGCATGGGGGAGGGTGGATGCAGTGACAGAGTGAACGTGAGGCAGTGGAGAAGGTCATTGACCTTCAGAGCTGGGCATTCCTCCAGGTGGCTGAGACTCCTCTAACCCGAGTGGCAACCTCAGACCAGGTTGGGCATGGTCTGGTATCGTGCGGGTCCTGGAAGTAATGGACATTCCACTTGTGCCCATCCAGCTGGAGTTTGGGACAGATCCGTATCTGCCAAGTGGGGTCACAATTTCCCTTTCTCTGCCATGTCTTCGGCAAATGTCAGGAGCCAGCCTGTCCTGGTGCACAATGGGCTTTTAAAGGTAGCACCATTGCAAGGGATGCTGGGGAATTCCGGGATATCCAGGCAGTGGTGGGCTAATCTGATTACAGCAAGTGACAAAATGGGTCTAGAATCAGACGAGAGGAGTGGCAGAGAGGTGGGGCAGGTTGTCAATGAGGGCGAATTTGTTAAGACACAGAGAAAGATCTCACTGGTCCACCAAGGACAGAAATCCTCCGCAAAACCTGACAAACAAAAAGTAAGATTCAGCTCGATGACTTTATATCTGTCGCCGTTGTTACTGACCCACTGACCAGAGGAAATAATGTCCACCCCAGAACTTCTCAAAATCTTTAAACCACCTCGGAATTCACCTCATAACCTTCTCACTTTACAAGGACAGGAGGGAACAAGTCTCCTTATTCCAACTCCTTTTGCAATTCCCTACGACAGAACTTGACCCCCTCCAGATCCTCACCTTCATGAGGCATGGCTTTTGCTAAATGGTTTCAAAAAAACTCCAAAATTTTGTCACAATGAAGCTTAAACTTCCTCTTTGAACCTTTGGAAATGATGACATTTTATGCTGAAGCCCTGAGCATTTGTTCTTTTTAGGATGTGTCAACTTTCCCGAAGCCCATTCCTGGGGAGAAAGAAAAAGCCCCTCGTAAATGCCTTCTCCTATTTAGATTATATCCAAACGGGAAAAATGAGCCCTCTCATGTTTACTCTGTTGGAAGTTCAGCAGAGAATATGGATAAAACCCAACTCTCATTAATGTTGATCCCTGGTTTAAAGTTCCCATCCATCTGGAAATTCAATCTGCATCATTCAATGTCAGATTTGAATTTCTGGCTGATATATTATTTTTTTCTATTATTGGAACCAACATGTGTGATAGTGAGAGCCCCACATCAAATAGGTACTAGACACAATGTCATCACATACTTTGAGTGGACTCTGTCCTACCATTCCTGTCAGCAGTCAGTATATCATATTCAAGTGAGTACCTGACACTGAGCATATGAAGAATCTGGCTGATGGTCATCATTAGAAGGACAACAAGGGTCACTGAAATCTCAGGATACATAAAGATTTGCTTTCCCTACCCCTCCCCAATAGGGATCAAACTCAAAGACATTGAGACAGCAATTTCCTCTGAAGTAGAGCCAGAGGGGTAATTCCTAAAAGCGTGGCATGAGGATAATTATAGATTTGGATGATCAAATATCCAATGGCAGGTTATAATTTATCTCCTGGTGTGACCATGGAAGCATCTCTACAGCATCAAGTGAGGATGTTGCACTAGAGTTTCAAGCCATGATTTGTTTAAAATCATTTTTCTCTTTATTCATTCACGGGACAAGGGTGTCGCTGGCTAGGCAGCATTTATTGACAAGAGGGCAGTTAAGAGTCAACCACATTGTTGTGGGTCTGGAGTCACATGTAGGCCAGACTAGGTAAGGATGGCAGTTTCCTTCCCTAAAGGACATTAGTGAACCAGATGGGATTTTCCCAACAATCGACAATGGATTCACGGTCATCATTAGATTCTTAATTCCAGATATTTTATTGAATTCAAATTCCACCATCTGCCGTGGCAGGATTCAAACCCAGGTCCCTGGAACGTTATCTGGGTCTCTGGGTTAATAGTCCAAGGGTAATACCACTAGGTCATGTTTATATAAGTTGACACAGCCTCGTTCAGACTGTGTGTTAATAGTTTGATTGAGTAGGTGGAAGCACAATTGTTTTCCTTGCTGACTCAGGTCCCAAATTCCACGTCGAATGATTTTCTGATCAGTAAGTTCTCAGATGATACAAAAAATTGGTGGGGTGATAAATCATGAGGATGATGGCCTGAGACTACAAGAGGATATGGAAGAACTGGTTAGCTGGTCTAATCAGTGGCAAGTGGAATTCAAACTGGTTAAATGTGAGTGACACAATTAGGTAGGACAAACAAGACAAAGGGATACATGATGAATGGTAGGACCCTGGGAAGCACTGAGGATCAGAGGGACCTTGGTGAACATGTCCTCCAGTTGCTTAAGGTATCAGGACAGGTGGATAAAGTGGTTAAAGGCATATGAGATACTTGCCTTCATTAGCCAAGGCATACAGTTTAAGAGCAGGGAGGTGATGCTGGAACTGTGTAAAATGTTGGTCAGGCTGCAGCTCATGTACAGTGTGCAGTTCTGGAATCCACATTATAGGAGGGATGTGGTAGCAGTGGAGAGGGGGCAGAGGAGATTCACCAGGATGTTGCCTGGGCTGCAGAGTTTCAGTGATGCAGAGAGATTGGACAGCCTAGGGTTGTTTTCCTTGGAGCAGAGGAGATTGAGAGGGGACACGATTGAGATGGATAGAATTATGAGGGGCGTAGACTGGGTAGACAGGAAGAAACATTTTCCCTTAACGGAGGGATCAGTGACCAGGCACATATATTTCAGGTACAGGAGGCAGGAGGTTTAGAGGAGATGTGAGAAAAAGCTTTTTCTCCCAGAGGGTGGTGGGAATCTGGAATTCATTGTCTGTCAGAGTGGGAGAGGCAAAAAAAACCCCTCATTACATTGAAGAAGTATTTAGATGTGCACTTGTGATACCAAGGTATACCAGGCTATTGGCCAAGTGCTGGGAAATGGGATTAGAATAGTTAGGTGGTCATTTTTGGGTGGTGTGGACTCGATGGGCTGAAGGGCCTTTTTCTATGCCGTTGATCTCTATGATTTGATGGCTATGACTGATTATCACGGGTTCTACTGCAAAAATCCATGGAAAGTCTGTGGGAAAGAGTAAGTGTGATGAAGACGTGGTCCTGTTCATTTTCTGCGAAGGGTAATCTCTTTTTAGTCAATCATGGGCAGCAGTGGCTGGGTCAGCATTTATTGCCAATCTGTAGTTGACCTTGGGAAGGTGGTGGTGAGCTGCCTTCCTGAAAGCTTGCAGTCTGCCTGCTAAAATCCGACCCTTGTCAATTTTAGTTGTCAGTAAACCGAAAGAAAGGTTTCATTTAATTCCACGGATGTACAGAATCTTTCAGCACAATGACTGGCCATTCAGGCCCAGGGGTCTATGCTAGTATTTATGCTCCATGTCCACCTTGTGGGTAATTAGAAATGTGAATAAATCACGATATTCCATGTCAACAGCTGAGAGTTGAAGCAACTCTTTAAAAACACCAGTATGGTATCAATGTTGCTGGCAGCAAATGAGGGCTGGCATTCATTATTGACAGTTCCTGCTTCCCTATAATTTATAGTTCCTCCAAGCCAACGCACTACCAATTATAATTTTCACACTACAACATCTGTGCTCTAAGGCTGGTTTTAAGGGTCTGTTGCTGTAGTGTTGAATTTGAAATATTGCCGGGTAATGTCTGCATTACTCAGTTATGGATTGATATATGTATTTTTGCTCTGACACCATGGTTCAACAGCAGAAAGGTCAATGGATGTTGATAGCTGTCAGTGGTCCAACTAACAATACACGTGGATGGTGTTTTTATGGAGTATTAATTGACTGAAGGCAGTTGTGAGAAGTTGTCAGATTGCTGCAAAATCCCGAAAGGTTCACCAAAGTCCTTTGGGGAATGGAATCTGTTGACCTTTCTCGATCTGGGATAAGGCATGACTTTATCTGCTTCTTGGTGATTGTTGATTAAGTCTTTGAAGTGACCTAGCTATTAGTTGGTTGGGAAACTGTGGGATTGTCCCTTCAGACCCTTGGGTCTGTATTTCTTTTGTTGGGACAGTCCCACACTTTTACCGCTCTCTGTGTGAGGAGGTATTTCCTTCAGCTCTTTTGTTTGGCCTGCCTCTGATTTACATTAATGTTGTTTTATCTGAAACTGCCAAGCAGCATAAAGAACGTTCTCTCAGCTTTTTTCTAAATTATTAATTGATTCAGGGGATGGAAGTGTTGCTGGCTGGGCCCAACATTTATTGCCCGTCCCTAGTTTCCCTTGAGAAGGTGGTGGTGAGCTGCCTTCTTGAATCACTGCAGTCCATGTTCTTTCAGTTGACCCACAATGCCCTTAGGGAGGGAATTCCAGGATTTTGACCCAGCGACAGTGAAGGAACAGCGACATATTTCCAAGTCAGGATGGTGAGTGGCTTGATGGAGAACTTGCCGGGGCTGGTGTTCCCATGTGTCTGCTGCCCTTGTCCTTCTAGATGGAAGTGGTGGTGGTCAAATCACTACTTAATCTTTAAAATGCAAGGGAAGCATTTGTTGAGTTTGGATAACCTCTCCTCACAATCTCAAGGTTGGAGCTCTAGGAACTTTCTAGTAACATCACGCTGCCCGCCTTCCCAGGCCAATCCATCTTTTCTCAGGTGCAATGTTCATAACCAGACATTGTTATATCAAAGTTTCAGTTCATAAGGAATATCCACTGTCAATGTTCAATTCGAGGTGGCCAATACATTCTGACCAAGTCGGTGACTCCCATGAGAATGAAAAAGAATAGCATTATCCTTGGAGGAAAATTAGCTTATTGCTTTGCAGCCAATGCCAGTGAACTTTGACCTCTCCAGGAAAACCAATGGAAACGTTGCCTCTATTCTATTTTCACAGAGGGAAAAGAGACGACAGGAGCTCGAACTGAGACACCAGCAGCACCGGCAGGTCAGTGAAACATTGAGCCAGTTGTACATTCACACTCAGCTATGTGCCGTAGAGGTCATGGTTTATGTTCAGTAACGATGAACCTAATGATCACATCTGAAATTGTTGACCATTGTATATAGAGTCATGGAGTCATACCATGTAGAAACAGGCCCTTTGGCCCACCATGTCTATGCTGACCAACAAACATCAAACTAAACCAATCCCATTTACCTGCATTTAGTCCATAACCCACTATGCTCCGCTATTTTAAGAGCTTGTCCAGAAGATGCTTAAATGTTGTGAGTGTAGCTGTGTCCAGCACCCTCTCAGGCAGCATGCTCCATATTTCTACCACCCTCTGGGTGAAAAACCTCTTTCTCAGATCTCCTCTAAACTACTTGCTCCTCACCTTAAACTTATGCCCTCTGGTCTAAGACTCATCAGCCATTGGGAAGAGATTCTCTGAATCAACTCTGTCTATACCTCTCATAATTTTGTATTCCTCAATCAGATCCCTTCTCTGCTCCAGGGAAAACCAAACCAGCCCTTCCAGTATCTCCTCATAATTGAGACTTTACATCTCAGGCAACATCCTGGTGAATCTATCCTGTACCTTCTTCAGTGCAATCATGTCCTCCTGATAGTGTGGTGACCAGAACTGCGCACAATATTCCAACAGTGGCTTAACAATTGTGTTCTAAAGTCGTAATGAGACTTCCTTGCTCCTATATTCTAAGCCCTGGCCAATGAAGGCAAGTATCCTGTGTGCCTGCTTCACCTGTATCCCTGTGCTGACAACTTCAGGGATCTATGGACTTGTACACCAAGGTCCCATTGTTCCTCAGTGTTCCCTAGGGACCTACCATTCATTGTCTATAATCTTTCCCTATTAAACCTCCCAAAATGTATCACCTCACACTCATCAGGATTAAAATCCACCTGCCATTGTTCTGCCCAATTTACCAGCTGATCATACCAGGCTGTAGCCTGAGACCATCTGCCTCACTATCAACAACACCACCATTGTTCATGTCCACTGCAAACTTACTCATTAAATCTTCTACATTCACACACAAGTTGTCACTGTACATAACAGCAAGGGTCCCAGCACTGATCCCTGTGGTACACCGCTGGTCACAGACTTCCAATCACAAAAACATTCCCCCACCATCACTCTTTGCCTCCTACTTGAAAGCCACTTTTGGATCCAATTTGCCAACTTGCCTTGGATCCCATGGAATCTTACCCTTTGGACCAACCTTCCATGTGGGACCTTCTCAAAGGCCTTCCTGAAGTCCATTTAAACCACATCAACTGCGCTACCCTCATCAATGTATTTAGTCCCTTTTTCAATTAAATTAGTCAGACAGGATCTCCCTCTAACAAATCCGTGCTGACTATCCATGATCAATCCCTACCTTTCCAAGTAATGATTAATCCTGCCCTTCAGAATATCTTCCCAATAATTTCTCTACTGCTGATGTCAGACTAACTGCTTTGTAATTACCCGGCCTAACCCTGACT